GCCGAGGTCGGACGCTCAACCGACTGAGCCACCCAGGCACCCCTCTCTTTTTTTAAGTTTATACAATTTATTTTAAGAGAGAGAGAGGGAGAGCGCAAGAGTGCACATGTACATGGGGTAGGGGAAGAGAGAGACAGGAAGGAGAGAGAGAATTCCAGGCAGGCTGCTCACTGACTCATCCCCTTTAAAAACTGTATTTCAGGGGCACCTGCGTGGCTCAGTCAGTTGAGCGTCCGACTCCTGTTTGTGGCTCAGCTCATAATCCCACGGTCGTGGGATGGAGCCCCTCATCGGGAGATGGGCGTGCAGCCTCCTTATGATTCCCTCTCTCCCTCTCCCTCTGCCCTTCCCCCACTTGTGCGGACGAGCTCTCAAAAAATTTAAAAAAATAAAAATAAAACACACCAAAAAACCTGTATTTGATTCCTTGTAATCCCTAGTGTAACTACCCCTGGGGAAAACCAACTAAACCAACAAACAGTTGCACACCAGTGAGAATGCCAATAAAAAGGATTTACCGACTGTGTTTGTCCAGCTTAGGGATGACTAAAGCTGACTCAGCTCAGGCCCTGAGGAAGTACTGATTTTCTTTGTAGAATCAAAACCTCTAATCAGCTGAAGACCTTCTGTGCTGTTTTAGAAAAGTGGTGTGTGCGTTATCAGCTCTGTTTACCGAACTTGACAAGCCTCGACTGGATCACACGCACAAGGAAGCCGCCGCCCAGCCTTGCCTCCCAGTTCTGGGCGCAGACCCTGAGTACCCAGCGGTGTGGGCCACCCCTGCCCCTTCGCACAGAGCCTCTCCACGGCCGCGCCTGCGGTGTCCCAGGGCAGGGAGACCCTTGGCAACGGGGCTGACTGCCTGTCTTTCAACAAGTTCTCAGGTGGAGTACTCCGTCCCCCACAGTGTTTTCATTCACAAACAGGCTTGCCAACGGCCCCGAGGCAATGAAAAACATACGCCCCACACCCTGAACACATGTAATTATTTTAGTCCCCCTCCCCCGCCTCTAAACCGGGAAATTCTAATGGCAACGGGAGAGAACAGTGGGGGCTGGCTGGGGTGAAATGGCTCTCATCAGCAGTGAATCCTTCGGAGCCTGCCATTTTCCGGACTAGTATCTTCCAGGCGGTGGGCTTAACCTCAGGCGGGTAGGAATGAGCACGGATCGCGGGGTGCCCTCTTGTGGGGAAATGCATCGAGGTCGGGGGGGGGGGGCCACCTACCTACATCCTGATCACCGCTGACCAGGAACTTGAGGATATTGTTCATGGCGCCCATGTAGAAGATGAGCCGTAGCTGTGTGATGCACATGGTGACCAGGCTGAGCAGCAGGATGGGGCTGAACACGCTGTGCATGAAGGAGGGGGCCGCTGCGGGGAGAAGACCAGGGGTGCTCAGGAGAACCGATGCCCCTACCCGCCACCCCCCACCCCCCCGGCCCACAGCCTACCCACCGTCCAGGGGAAGCCTGATTTGCTGACCAGATCACCCTATGCTGGATGCAGGGATGGGCCTGGGGGAGGTTAAATGTGTGGGTGCTGGACTTGGGTCACCCAGGGGTGTGAAGTGAGTTGGAAGAATCCCTTCCCCATTCTGGGCCTCAGTGTGCTCATCTGTCAGCCCGGGTGCAGGGTGCCGCCTGCCCTCTGGGGATCAAGTGGGAATTAAGTGAGATGGCACCCACGAAGCCCTCAGTTGCTGCTGGCCCCGGGTGAAGGGATTTCCGGGATGGGTTGGCCGCCTCCTCCCCGCCGCCGAGGTGCGGGTTTGGGTGCAGACGGCCCCGCCGACGTCCTAGGCAGGCCCTGAAGGTGAGGTCATGAAGCAGGTACCTGCGGTGTCTGGCTGGCACTTCACCTCCAGGTCAATGGTGGACAGGCACAGCTTATGGCCCTCCTGCAGTGCCGCTTGCTCCTTGCTGCTCCTCATGGAGCTGCCCACGCTGAGGCGGCGCCCCACCGTGGTCACCTGCTTGTAGAACTGCTTCCCTGTGATCTTGTGGTCAAAGCCCAGCCAGCTGAACTTGATCTTCACCCTGGAGGCCACAGGAGAGTGTCCATCGGTGCTGCCCGGGACCCTGGCCAGGGCGGGGGTGGGGCAGACGGCACATCCACTTACGAGTAGTCCATGTCCTCCGGCCCTGGGAAAGGCTCCAGGGGCCAGTTCAAGAAGCAGTTGAGGAAAACCAATCCGGAGCAGCCGGCCCAGACCACGAGGATGATGATGAAGGAGGCACCAAAGTCATAGATGACCTGACAGGCACAATGGGGTAGGCGCAGGGCCAGGGGGCAGAGTTAGCAGAGGGAAGCCACGGCAGGCGGCAGGCAGGGGGCATCTGTCAGCCCTGCTCTTCCTGCGCTGAGCTGCGTAAGGAGGCACGGCTCCGCCAGTCTGGGTGTCTGGTCGTCAGAGGCCCCGCATCCCAGCAATCCCAGCTTGCCCTGGCACGTCGTTAACCCCCTGTGCCTCCAACTTGGACCACATGTCACCTCCCTGGAGAGGCCTTCTCTGACTGCTTCTGTCACTGTCACCTCACAAGTTCACAGTGAACGGCCCTGGCTGAGATTACTGACTTCTTGATTACTTTCCTAGTCCGTTACTAGTCCAGCTCCTTGAGAACGGGAACCTGCTAGTCTTGTTCACGGATGTGCCTTGAAGGGTGCACGTGGCAGGTGCCCCAGACACCCAACAAGCAGATGGATGTCTCACTTTGCTCCTCTCTGAAATGGGCATAACACTGTCCCGTAGCCTCAAGGAGCTGCAGGTGTGATCCCCAGAGTGCTCAGTACAGGGCCTGGCAGGTGGGAAGCCTGCTGAGCAAGCATATTAGTCGTTGTTGTCACTGTTACCATTTATTTCCAGCACAAGAGTCGCCAGCATCCTGGCAGACAGCTGCCCAGCTCCCCAGGGAGGGGACCAGTGGTTAGACAGCAAGAAGAGGTGGAGGAGGAACTTGTAGACTTCTCCACACTCCGGAAGGGTGAGAACGCCTAGGAGGCCACAGCATGGCTGGCTCCTCACCCTCCAGGTACCTTGATTCCCCAGAGGCCAGCCCGAGTCTATGACTCCTCCTCCTAATCCATGGCCTCCCCGCCATGTATCGCAGGAAAGGGGTTTCGATTTGGTGCTGAGACCACAGGTGGGACAAGCCCCTTTCGAAGACTTGGCAGGGGCAACAGTATTTGGAGCGGGTGCCGGGGGTGACAGACTGTGAGGTGTTTGCTTCCTCCTGACCCTGCGTGACTTCCACAGGTTCAGAATCCTGCCTGGGAGGGAAACAGCTGAACCAACTTAGCCAAGAGCAGCGCTCTGGCTAATGAGGAGTAACAGCCCAACAACAACAGACCTGGGGGTGGGGTGACCTGGGACAAACTCACCCATCCCTCTTCTCTACCCCAGCCCAGAAATGCAAAGGCGGCCTGCAGTAACACCCTGTGTGATATGCTTGAATTTTCCGTCTCCCATGGCTCAGTGGTTTTCTTTTCTTACTCTTGTGGTGGCCAGGTGCATCCTCCCAGGTGTGGGTGGTGGGGAGGGGCGAACCCCAGAACCCACAATTACTTCCCTCTTCAGAGGAGGCTGAAAGAGCCTTGGGAGAGGGCTCTGCTCAGACATTAGGACAAGAGGGTGAGGCTGGTCACACCCTCACCTTGATTCCTGGGAAGGTGACTGCTGAGGAGGCATAGGATCCAATCATCAAGGCAATAAACGTGGACCGAAGGTCACCAAACATGTTGGGTAGCTGAAAGACAAGAAGCAAGGGAGACCTGCTGAGGGAATGGGCAGCGGACTGGTGGGGGAGGCGTGGGGGAAGGAATCAAGGTATCCTCAGGTTCCATTTCTTATCAGCTCTCCTTCCTGTGTCATTGAGGGGGTGGTGTGGGGAGTGGGTAATTACGGCTTTTCATCTGGGACTTAGTTTGATAAAGGGAGGGGAGATTAATGCAGAACTCAGAGACCGGGTCAGACTCTGAGCTGTTGGACTTCCTGGCTGGTGAGTGTCCCTCCTCTTTGCTCATGCCAGGAGCCTCTGCGTCTTTGCAGGGTTTCATTGAGATGCCAGCGAGCAAAGTCGGGAGCCTCAGGCATCCCTCAAAGGGAGCAAGCCTGTTAAAAGTAAGAATCTATTTGGGGATGAGAGTGTCACTGTATACATAAAAATATCAGTGTCCCAGAAGGACCAGATGTCAGCAAAAGCTGCTTTTGGTTCTAAGACAGTAGGCTTCTGGAAGGTGCCAATCTGAATTCTACAGTTCCTCAGGGCTGACAGGGGAGCCAGCCTAGTCTGGGATTCCTGCTTCTGGTTTCTAAGTGCAAGGAGAGCCCTCCCTCTCCGTCTCACATTTTACCCCAGTGATGGGCATCGGAGGAGACCGATGGCAAGAAAGACTCATTCTCTTGTCCCAGTGAGGTCGCTCACACACCTCCTATCAGCTCATTCTGGGCCTACCGCCACAACTTCAAAGCTCAGACCCACCCAGCCCGCGATTCTACACAAATCCAGGCACAGTAAATGTGACAACACAGTCACAGAGGCAAACAGACCTAGGGCAAAGTACATCCTCCCAAATAGCCAGTTTGTATCTCCTCTCCCTTGCCTCCAAAGAGACGGAACTGCCATGCTGTGAAGCTCTCCCGTCCCACATCCACAGTGTCCAGAGCATCGAGATCACTCTCTGTGTAGCTATCCAACCTGCTTCACTGAATTCAGGCTGTTCATATGGACCTAATCTATGACCCCCTCTCCCATTTGTCCGGAATCACATTGGGGTTTTCTTAAACACGGAACACTGCTGCCTGGGAGCCAATCCATTGTTGCTGAGTGCAGGCAGTGTGAACTGGCCTTTCCTGCCCCTCATCATTTCTGCCTGTTTTGCCCACAATTAAAAATGAGGAAGGGACATCACCAAAATTAAAAGCTTTTGTGCTTCAAAGGGCACCAGCAAGGGGCTCCTGGGTGGCTCAGCTGGTTGAGCACGCGACTTCGGCTCAGGTCATGATCTCACGGTTTGTGAGTTCGGGCCCTGCGTTGGGGCTCTGTGCCGACAGCTCAGAGCCTGGAGCCTGCTTCGGATGCTGTGTCTCCCTCTCTCTCTGCCCGTCCCCTGCTTGCACTCTGTGTCTCTCTCTCAAAAATAAATAAACATTAAAAAATTTTTTAAAAAAAGGCACCACGAAGAAAGGGAAAAGACAATGCACAAAAGAGAGAAAACGTCTGCAAATCATGCATCTGATAAGGGACATGTGTCTATACACTATGTATATATAAAAGACTCCTAAAATTCAATAATAAAAAAATAACCTATTTTTTAAATGGGCAAAAGATCTGAACAGACATTTCTCCAAAGAAGATCTACAAATGGCCAATAAGCATATGAAAATCCACTCAGTATTATTAATCTTAGGGAAATGCAAGTTGAAACCACAATGAGATATCACTTCATGCCCCCTAGGGTGGCTATAATAAAAAATCAAATAATAACAAATGTTGATGATATATATAGGAAATCAGAACCCTGATCCACTGCTAGTGGAAATATCAGATGGTACACAGCCACTTTGGATAAGTCTGGCAGTTCCTCAAACAGTTCAACACAGAGTTACCATATGACTTAGAAACTTCACTCCTAGGTATATACCAAAAGAAATGAAAACAAATGGACTCACAAAATTGTGGCAGCATTCAAAAAAAAAAAAAAAAAAAAAAAATTGGGAGGCACCTGAGTGGCTCAGTCAGTTAAGTGTCCGACTTCGGCTCAGGTCATGATCTTGCAGTCCGTGAGTCCGAGCCCCGTGTCGGGCTCTGTGCTGACACAGCTCAGAGCCTGGAGCCTGCTTTGGATTCTGTGTCCCCCTCCCCTCTCCCCTTCCCCCACTCGTGCTCTGTCTCACTCTGTCTTTCAAAAACAAATAAATGTTAAAAAAAAAAAATTGTGGCAGCATTCTTCACAATAACAAAGAAGGGCAAACAAGGCCAATGTCCATCAGTAGATGAATGGGTAAACAAAATGTGGCCTATTTATGCAATGGAACGTTATTGAGCCACAAGAAGAAATCAAGTACTGATACCTACTACAACACGGATGAACCCTGAGAATATTATGATAGATGAAAAAAACAAGTTACAAAAGACCACATATCGTATAACTCCATTTATACGAAATGTCTAGAATGGGCAGATCCATAGAGACAAAAAATAGATTAGTGGTTGCCCAGGGCTGGGGTAGAGGAAGCTGGGAGTGTATAGGGAGGAAATGCCAATGGGTACAGGGTTTCTATTTGGGGTGATATAATTGATTACAGTGATGGCTGCACAACTCTGAATGTACTAAAAACACTCAATTGTATACTTTAGGTGAATTGTATGGTATGTAAATTTGTCTCAACATCACTGTTAAAAAATACATGAGTAAGATACATAAGATGATTTGGGGTCCCAGGATTAAAAAGGAAAATGAATAAATCTATAGTGTATGGCCAATAAGCCATTCTATGGCATAGGGCCAGGGTGGCCATCTAGGCTCCCCTAAGAATTCCAAGCACACAAAGAGCTCTTCTTCCAGCCCTGACATAGAGTGGACCCTCTGTCCACTCAGGCTTCTCAGATAGGATCAAAGGGGGATAGAGAGCATATTGAAATTCCCCCCAGCAGGAAACAGAGGCAATGTGAATGCTCACGTGTGCCCGGGAACACCTAGGTGACTACTAAAGGTGCCTAATCTTACTCTTTGCACACCTGCTTCCCAGGTATGCTGCGGTTCAGACGACATGCCTCTGTTCCTGAGCTCACATATTCGGGCTGCTCTGTGCTGGCTCACCCAGCAAGGCAACCTTGCAGCGGAGGCATTTCTGGGGTCATATCCGCCCCAGGGAGAATCCAAAGATTTGTTCTGCTTATGTGGAAGGAAGGAACTGTTCCAACCTGGGATGCCACTCCAGCCATGGGAAATAAAGGAAGAAAGGGATCAAAGAGGCCTTGGAACCGAACCAGAAGAGCGCATGGAGGCCAAGCGCCCGGTACAGGAAAGGCTACTTGGTACAAAGTCAAGCCAGAAAAACACTCTTGTTGCCTGTAGTCACCTTGAAGCACAAAAAGGTATCTCCCAACTTTTCAACAGGGCTGGGAATACTCTTAAAAAGGAGACAGCTTGCTAGCTAGCCTTTTTCCTTCTTAAGCTCAAGTTTGCTTTAATCCTAACCTATGCTAGAGGCCAACAGAACAATGGACTCGGGCTAGCATACAACCCTGGCCTGATCTTCTGGAGTCTTCTCCCCAGAAAAGATTCAGGAAGAACAGGAAGCTGAGAAAGAGGACTGACTTCCCATCTGCCCATGGACGAGGCCCTTGCCCTCATACCTAGACAAGGACAGTGGCTTTTTAGCTGCCCAACTTCTCCCTGCCTAGAACACTCTTAGCGACACCAAGAAAATTTGCCCCAACGTGTTATTTTGGTCAGTAGGGCGATACCTAGGGGGAGTATAGCCTCAGGTCAAACCGTACTACACAGTGTTCTCACCAACACCTATATCCTTTATTTTAAATTAGGGTTATTTTTTTCTGATTACAAAAGTAATGTATGTTCATTGTAAAACATTTGGAACAAAGTATACATAAAGAAAGAATAAAATAAAAATCCCCCTGATATACCCATTAACTATTTTTTATATATTTCCCATTAACCTTTGTCTTATAAATAACTGTAGCTTTTAAACAAAACTGGGATCATATGCTACATGTCGTTCTACAATTTTTCCCTTTTACTTGATATAGTATGTTTTCTTACTTTTTAAATTTATTTAAGATTTTTAATTTTATTATTATTATTTTTTTAACTTTTAAGTAATCTCTACACCCAACATGGGGCTCGAACTCACAACTCTGAGATCAAAAATTGCATGCTCCACTGACTGAGCCAGCCAGGCACCCCTATAAACGCTTTCTAACTTCGTATTCACCTTCAACATAATTTGTAATGACTGTCTGGTATTTCCTTATCTGGATGGTCTATAATTTATGCAACCACTTCTCTGATGTTGGAATTCAAGTCCTTTTTAATTAACATTCTTAAAGATAAGCCTATGTGCACATAGCTATTATTCCCTTAAGGTAAATTCCCAAAAGTAGAATCATTAGGCAAAAGGGAATACACATTCTTAAGTTTTTGTGATATCCTGTGCCAAACTGCCCTCCAGAAAGTGACACCAATTGGTAACTCCCAACAGAAGCACAGTAGAGTGTCTATTTCACTGTATCCACTCTGGCATTTCGTGTTATTTTTAATATTTGCCACTTTACCAACATCCTTGTTTTAAAATCCATTTCTTTGTGTATATGGATGAAATGAATGAGTAATATTTGCTTCAAAATAGTCTGGATGGTGGGTAGAGACAGGAACAAAGCAAGGCTGGTTGTGAGCTGATAATTGTTGAAGTTCAAGATGGACACATGGAATCATTATACTATTCTAATACCATGTATATATTTAAATTTTTCCATGACTAAAAAATGAAATTAAAAAATTTACATTTATTGATTACTAATGACTTTCAACATTTTCAATAATTTTTAAAATCAGCCATTTATATTCCTCACTTGTCCTTTTCTCCTATGAGGATGTTAATCTTTTTATATTGATTTCGTATAAGCTCTTTATATATTAAAGACAGTTACGGTTTGCCCATAGAGTGCAGGTATGTTTTCCTAGTTTGTCATTTAACTTCTTAATTACTTTACCTTCTTCT